CAAAAAAAAAAAAAAAAAAGAAGAAGAAACTTGACCCTGACCCCCAACCTTTCTCTCAACTTCTAGCCTACACTCACGAGAATGGCAACCCCAGGCTGGGTGTAGTGGCTCATGCCTGTAATTCCAGCACTTTGGAAGTCTGAGGCAGGTGGATCACCTGAGGTCAGGACCTTGAGACTAGCCTGACCAACATGGAGAAACTCTGTCTCTACTAAAAATACAAAATAAGCCAGGCGTGGCAGCACATGCCTTTAATCCTAGCTACTTGGGAGGATAGGGCAGGAGAATGGCTTGAACCCAGGAGGCGGAGGTTACAGTGAGCAGAGATTGTGGCATTGTACCCTAGCCTGGGCAACAAAAGTGAAAACTCCATCACAAAAAAAAAACCACAAAAAAATGCACTCCCAAAACTCACCATGTTTAAAACAGAACTCATTCAATCCATTGAATAATTGAGTCTTTTTACATGAAAACAGCTTTGAGAAACAGGATAAGATGCCTTCAGTAAATTTACATGCTCATTCCTTTTTTTCTTTTTGAGACTGTCTTGCTCTGTCACCCAGGCTGGAGTGCAGTGGTGTCATCTCGGCTCACTGCAACCTCCACCTCCCAGGTTCAAATGATTCTCCTGCCTCAGCCTCCCGAGAAGCTTGGACTACAGGCGCCTGACACCACACCCAGCTAATTTTTGTATTTTTAGTAGGGACAGGGTTTCACCATGTTGGCCAGGATGGTCTCGATCTCTTGACCTCATGATCCACCCACCTTGGCCTCCCAAAGTGCTGGAATTACAGGCATGAGCCTCCGTGCACGGCCTCTTTTTTTTTTTTTTTTAAAGAGACAGTGTCACCGGGCGTGGTGGCTCATGCCTATAATCCCAGACTCCCCCTCCTTTTTCTAATGGACTAATTCTGGGTCCTCAAATTTCTGAGCAGAATTGCAGACATGTTACCAAAAACAGCTAGAACCCTCAGAGGTGAAGTGATATTTAGATGCAAGCCTACAGCAGTAGGTTAAACTTATTTTCAGCTCACTAGCCACATCATCTATCAAAATATTGGTAATGCTACAAGACTACAGTGACAACCCGATTTTGTGAAGACGTTCAAGTTCTTTAAAACTAAATTTCTGAATGCAATGGAGCAATCAAAAAGTATGAT